CCGAAAAAACCATCACACTCCCACTTATAACAATATGACAGATTACAGAGGAATGGAAAGCTTGATAGCTGTGTGTGATGCGAGGGCCCTTTTGAGCTGCCTGCGTGTGCGTGTGCGCGTGTGCATGTCAGTGTGTTGAGCTGTGGGCCAGACGGACTGATGGAGGGATACAGATAGAAGATAAGTAGCCGGAGAGGGAGGGAGAGAGAGCATCCTGTGCTCAGAAAAGCAGGAAGATCAGAAATAATGCAGATGGAGAAACTGTAAATATCCGCACAGGAAGTGCAGTTAAAAGAAGAAGAGTGGAGTGAAAGGGAGATGTAGAATTTGAGGGAGGGAGGGAGGTGTGGATGGAGACAGATATGTGTGGGAGATCCCTATCTAAAGATGAAGATTAATTTCTCAGACAGACATTGTGGCGGGATTGCCAAGAAAAGGCCAGACAGTTTGACATTTCCTCTCCCTCCCTCTCTTTCTCTCTTTTTTTTTTTTTTTCCCCCCCGTCTTCTTCTGTTGCTCTCCCACCTCCTCCGGGATGGCGGAGACATGACTTTGTGATACCCCGGGTGATAAGAAACCCTGTCTGCCACTATCGTTGAAGCCACGCTGTCGGCCTTCCCCTAGTTCAGAGCCGTACTGTGAGCCAGTATGACAAGGACAAAAAGGTCTGTCTTTTCACCCGACCACATTTTGTCTTTGTTCTTGTTTTTTTTTTTTTTTGTTTGTTTTTTTTTTGGTTTTTTTTTCATACTAGGTCGATTTATGTTTTCCATTCACCCGATTTCTAAGCATATATTAAGAAAGTTTGTGGTTCTTGTTTGGTATTTCTGTGTAGTTTTCCTTTTATTTATTGTGTGTTGGGTCTTAAATGATACTGTAGCACATTAAAGATTGGGTTTCTCTCCCCAATGGCTTGAGCTGCGGGTTCATTCCTGCTGGTACAACTCTAATGCTGACAACACCCAGATGATACTGTAGTCCGTGTGCGAATCGCAGCTTCCACCGAACGTCTCCCCTCATGTTAAAATAAGGCGATAAAGACGCCAACCCAGTTCTGTCCGGCGCCTCAGCCCAATCGGCTGCCGTCAGCAGCGCCGTTTTATCTCTCTCTGCCCCCCACCCCCCTGTTAAGCCTGTTTTTAAGGGGCGGTAAGCAAAATGTTTTTCCTCCGCAACATATTATCCACAGATTTCTCAGGAGAAGAGCAAAGGAAAAAAAGCTGCTGCTGCTTTTTCCTCCCCGTCTCCAGCGCGGCGGTCCCTTTTAATAAGCTGCTTATTTTCCTCCCACCTTAGTATCTCTCCTCACTTTCTCTCCTCATGATTCTCTCCTCCTCCTCCCTTAAAGCTGCGTTTTCCATCCCTCTTTATTTCCGTGTCCTGTTTTTCTCCCCACATGTGGTCTCCTTTCTTTTCACACTCTCCTTTCTTTTTGTTGCGTCCTCCCTGCTTCTTTTACTTGCTTGTGAGCTCACTCAATCACATCTTTTCTTCTTTTGAGTCCTTTCTTCTGCGTCTGTTAATTCTCCTCCGTTGCTTCCCGTCTTTCACATCGTCTCCTCTGGCCTCCTCCCCTCCCATCAATCCTTCACACCTTCTCCCTGTCCTTCCTTCCAGTTCTTCTCTCCCTCTTCCCCTCTAAAGCAACTGCTTTCACTCGTCCTTTTCCACCTCTTTTTCTTCCAAACCCTCCCTTCCTGCTCTCAGCTTGTTGGTAACAGCTCTCTGAGATTGATGAAGCTCAGCAAAACATGGCCAAGGCCGACCTCAATACTGTAAAATGCACGAGTGCACCTTCCTAGTGCCTAAGAACCCAGTCGCTCGGTGTGTGTGTGTGTTTTGTATCTACTGGGCTGTAGCAGGAGTGTACAGCAGAGATGGCCTGGTTTAGCAATGCTGACAGTAGGCATTTTAAGTCTGTGCTAAGTTGGAATTGGTTTTGCACCTTGATGGGATATATTTAGTTTTCTTAGAATAAATTCTCTCTCCCTCTCCTCCTCTCTCTGTTTTCTTCAATTAAAGACAACAAATCACCATTCAATCATTTGCTGAAGATGAAGCAGTGGAACAGCAACGCTAAGAAACAAACGTACTTATCCTGCAGTACAAACATAGGCTGTATATGTGAAGTGGACGTGGTCACCATGAAGTCACCCATTGGTTTGTGGACTGCCGTTTTGAAGTCTCGGGGGTTTGCTATTTTGGCCGTCACCAGAAGTGACCGTATTTGGACTAGAGGGTAGAGCTGGGGAGGGATACGCATTGCTGCGACCTCTATCTATATAGACAGATTGCCGTAGAAGTGACCTGTCAATCACGAGATAGCCACTCCCTACCTTGCTTTATGGTCTATTTGACTCTAAATGGAGCATCATTTACTGAATGAACATCATGCTGTATTGAAGAAGACTTGAAACTAGAGATTGAGACCATAAACTCATGTTTACAATGTTTACTGAGGTAATGAATCAAGACGTAGGGTAATTTTCCCATAGACTTCTATACAATCAGACTTTTTGCAACCAGAGGAGTCGCCTGATGTCCATTAGAAAGAATGCAACTTTGAGGCACTTACGCATCTGCTTCACTTTTCAGACTCAGAGACTACGACCACTTCTTTTATATAGTCCATGAGTGTAGCCAAGGCATTCTCATTTGGACCGTCTTATTTCCAGTCCAGTCCAGTATTGACACCGAGATGCCTGGAAATGTCTGAGTCCTCTTCTTAAAGAACCGTAGAGCGGTTTATTTAATATATATTCTACGAATTATGTTCACGTGTAAAGTTTTTTTGTGAAACCGTTACGTTCTTTGCAACACAAAGTCGTCCTTTATTAATGCATCCCTTGACAAACAGCAGAGAGGCTGCTAATTCTTGAGGGCATTGTGATTAGGGATCGTCTGATTGGATTTTCTCCAATATCAAATCTGTTCCCTGAAACTGATATAGGAAGCCTATTGAACCTGCTCATCAAATCTGAGTTAATTCCGATCCCTTATTGAATCCATTTAGGTTCAGCGTTCAACTTTTGAAGAAACTAAAGTTATAAATAAATACAACTTAAAAGTAGCCCATCGACTTGCATACTGAGATCATTCTTCACTTGAGACGATGTATCACTCTAATTGTGTTGTGGGCACCACTCACGGTGTTATAGAGTGACGCCTCTTCCCTCACAAAACATCTTTGTCGGAGTACAGACATCAGCTGCAGAAAAAGAGCGATTTAACCAGAAAACATACCAGTTTTATTTTGACCTGCCGTCAAGTAGCTCTCGGACTTTACATTACCTAGCGACAGCTGATGTGACCTGCAGTCAGCGAAGTTTGTCAGTGAAACCGCTGAAAGCGAACAGTTAGCGCTAGCTAAATGTTTATAACACTACTCTTTGCTAATAAGAGAACAGAGAGATAGAAGATGGAACAGATTTTGTTAATGGGGAGCTCAGTAAATCTGTCTGTTTTGTATCAGAACCCAAAGTCACCGAAACAGTTTCAGCAAAACGATGATAATCATTATGGAGGTAGGATATGCATTAGCATACATCTCGCCTTTGTGTCACTTATCCAAGTTCACCAGTGTGGCGTCTTCTTTACCACCTTGAGAACTTGTAGTTTAGAAAGTTGTAGAGGCTCGTTAACCCCCAAACGGCCACAAGGGGGCAACAACGAGCCCGTTCCACACTCCAAAACTAACTTTGACAAGCCACACATTAAGTGAGATTAATGTTTAATCTAAAGTGAAGCAGCTGAACCAGCTGAAGCTAATTTGCCCCCACCCCCATGGACCCACCTACAAGATCCAAGGTCCACCCACCACAGTTTCAAAACACTAATGTATAGCACAAGATAAGCTGAGCTTTAATAGTGAAAGACTCTATATTGCAGACCCTTTCCTGTCCCTAGTCTTGCATCCCACACTTTAAGCTAGGCGCCTATGGCTGGGTCGAGGTTTTAATATGACATCCCCTGAGATAATTAACTGAGAAGTGCAGGCAAGTTTCTCTGCTGAACCACAGAGACTGCAATCATGTGTAATTTGTATGTTTGAAACCATACCATTTTTGGAGTAGTAGTTTTTTTTTGTTTTTTTTTGCCGTATGTTGGTGGTTTTGAAGGGAGCTGTCAGATTCCAGTAATAAGAATGAGTCCCCAGGTTTCTCACTGTCCAGCTGAGTTCAGCACGGACCGGATGACGTGGTGTCCTCCTCCTCCCTCCTGGTAACACTGCTGTGCTTTTGTTTTTGTTTGCTTCGCCCCACTTTGTGAACAAACTCTTAATTGATGTGCGCCCCAGAGCACAGGGCAGTTCTTTATTTCTTGGAGATTATCATAACTTGAAAATCAGCATGTTGCCTATAGCGCTCTCGCAAAGTTCTGTTTTTTTTGTTTGTTTTTTCCCCCCTGAAAGTTTACCTCATTATCAACCTCTGTAGCTCTCTTTTTAATGATGATATCTAACCTCTATCTTTGTGGTATTTGCTTTAGCAATAAAGAGCATTACGTCCTACACACACACACACACGGTCACAGTGGGTTTCTGCAAAGTGCTGACAAAGAAATCACTTTAATTCTGCATCCAAGCATCCCAATGGAAAAGAAAGGCAGGAATAACAACCAGCCACACACACACGCACACACTGCCTCATGCACAGGAAGGCAAACACGTTCTCTCATACACACAATCGTAGAACATTGCCACGCATTCGAACACACACTTGTATAAAAGGTCCTCGTTTAAAGACACACATATTTCTTATTCACGTATCACACACGGGCACAAACGCACGGTTTCTAATATGCACACGCACAGTCTTCCATAAATCATACCACCCCACGTGCACAAACACACGTGCCGCCGAGTTACAGTAAAGGGACTGGGACGGGAAATCGCTGCTTATTACTTTGTCTGTACTGTAGCCGTGCTGCCGGGCTCCCCCGAGGTTGCAGTAATTGACTTGTCCGATCCCTCCTTTCAACACGTTATTCTTCCCTCCGCTGCTGCTTCTTGTCCGGTGTTTGCCAGAGGGACCGAGCTGCCACACAAAAGATATTGGCCGCCGTGTCCAAACTCACGGGTGGACAAAAAGTCTGCCGCTGTTAATGAATACAGCCCACGCGGCACCGCGTCGGCTCGGCTTTTTTAAATGTCCGGCTCCGCTGCTCACCGTGATGAATATTTAATGCACCTATCATCTGTTTAACCCCCCGTACACATTCAAAGGTCCGGCTTGATTCATCATGTGCGTCGAACATCTTTGCTCGGTTCCATTATGGCGAGGCTCCCCAGGGGGGGTGCAGTAATTGACTCGTCTAAGACCTCATTTGAAAATGTTTTACTTTCTGTCTTTTCGCTTGACGAGTCCACTCTAAAGTAGCTAAGAGGTAAAGTTATTTCTGCTGTCGAGAGTTACTAAAGTAAATGTCCCGTGGTTGGACCATTTAAAATGCTTTGATGGGCACAAAACTCCTCTTGAATCAGCAGTTTATTAACAACAACATCTAACACCGGTTGATACCCAGCTAGACAACATACCAGAGTGGTTTTATCCCGTCTCAATCAAACAGTCTCTTCTGTCACACTTTTAAGACCAACTGTAATTGTCTCTCTCTCTCTTTGGTCTTCCGTTGCTGATGTCATGACTTCGCTTGCCTTGATAAGCCACACTCACACACCAGGACATTACAAACTGTACGCTGAACATGTTTTGGGTCTTTTTCTCTGGTAAATCTCTCCCTTGAGAGGCAGAGCTGCTGAAGCACTCAGCACTATATTAGTCTCTGCCAAGTTGATACCGAGGAGGCGTGTCCCCGTCCTGAGCTCTACTTCCTCTTCCTCCTCTGATATTTCTTCAACATGTTGCTCCCAGGCAGATTCTTTGTGTGCACTAAATAAACTAAACAGTCTCTGACTGGATGTGATATGAAAAAAATCATCATGTTGATTTGGTGCTTTATTCCTTTATAAGACATCAGGAACATGATTTATTTCTTTTTTGCTGGATTCACTGAAGGTTAACCAGGTGAATCCAGGTGGAAGCTGTTACTTTCTTATGGTTTCACTAATTGTATCCTCAGTCATGCAGCGCATGTGTAGTAGACTCACACATCGCTGTCAGATG